ATTTGTAGATTCAGTATGGCTCCTATGATGCGGAACAAAATCCTTGTAAGTATTACTACTTGGATTTCGCTCTTTCTCATTACCACCCTTCCTATTAGGACTCCTGGGAAAACTCGCCCTAAGCCAATTGCCATATTGTTGCTCCCCTTTCATGGTCGAGCCCTTCAAACCACAGTTCTTCTCAGAATGACCAATAATCCCACAACAGAAGCAAAAATCCGGGCATTTTTCATAACGAAACTCTACCCATCTCCCCTTCCCATTAAACTTAACCGTAGTACCTCTTAGAAGAGGCTTAGTCAGGTCAAATTCCACCAGCATCTTCATATGCTTCCCCTCCTTCCCCCCTCCTGGAGGAACAATTACCTCAATTACTTCACTAAAGATTCCTCCTATCTTCCTACCTACATCTTTAGTTAACCAATGGAGGGGAAGGTTCCATACCTGTATCCAGATCCTCCCCTTATCAAACACTTCCAATTCATCCTCAATGCCCTCCCTCCATTTCAATAGTATTAACGGCTGTCCATCATAAATCCATGGTCTCCCATTCAAGGCTCGATCCAGATCTGATTTCAGACCAAACGAGAATTGAAATAGATTTGTCCGGATCGCCGTTACTCTCAGATTTTTTGGATGGAGCCACATATTCTCCGCGAAGCTCCTAACTCCAGCAGAATTTGCTTTCTTCTCTCCCCAAACTTTTCCTATCAGACTCAGGCTACATTCCTCCACGCCTTTTGTGAACTCCTCCTCATCCAACCACACGCCCTCTTTTTTTGAATTTGAGAGCGAGAACCTTCGCATCACCTCCTCCAGCGTATCCATCATGCACAAGATCCCCGTCCACAGCCACTACGAACTGACCGCACTTACCTCAGCTGAGCAGGAAGGAGCTGCAATTCTATGCTGTCCCCGCCAAGTACCTACACCACAAATCAAACGGAAAACTACAAAAATCAGACACCTGACTCAACAAATGAAAAGATAGACTGGTTCAATCTGAAAATACTCTATGGAAGCATTCAATCCAGCATAATTTTAGATCTAACTCAGTATTCATCCCTGTCTCCCAAAATAGAAACTCCAAAATCAAATCTAAAATGGCGCCAATCTATAATAGGAAATACTTGAACCAGAGGTTTACTGAAAATGGAAGCATGAGTGAAATTGACTAATAGGTATTTTGAGCGAATGGAAATCCTCGTGAAAGAAAATGGAAAATGACAACCACCCACTACGGGGGAGAGAACTCTCTTCTAGAGAGAGAAAGGACTCTCAAAGAGAGAGATACCTTTTGATCTAATGTGTTAATATTTAGATACTTAATTTTTAACTAAATTTTAATTACAATACAATAATATATTAAATTTTCATTAGTCCCCAGGGAAATGGGGTGGGGCCAGGGCAGGAGCGAGGAGTACTAGTAAACAACGGGGCGGGCGAGCGGGTGGGCAGGGGTGGAGTCACCCACCTGACCCCTGCCTCATTGCCATTCCTTAGTTTCCCCTTTCCATAGAGCCAAAAAAATAAAAATCTGGCATTCCATTGATGTGTTCTACTTCGAAGTAACTTCCCCAATGTTCCTACAAAAAAAAAATATCCCCAATGAGACCGCAAAAATTTGACAAATTCAAAGTCAGCCCGATAGTAGTATTTGTATTTCGTGAGTGGACCATGATCTTGTGGGTGTTCCCTGTTTTTGGCCAAACCAGTCTCCTTAATTTCTCCAGGTTTACCAGTTCAAATTGGGAAATTTTCAAATTTAACTTATTTTTGCCCCAAAAAAAAAGGTACATACAATTCATAAGATTATTTTACCGCTTTTTTCAACCAATTTCTTGTTTCACCATACTCTTTATAATAAAGTGTTACAATAATATTCTAATAAAAGCTCTCCCCAAAACACAATCCATAAAATGCCTAATTTTAAATTTAATGAGGATTTTTGATTGAGATTGGGCACCTTTAAACTTCAATTATCTTGTTGGAACAAAACAAAACTTTAATTTAAACTTATCTTTGCCAAACAATACCCTTTTTTTCATCTCTATGGTTGAAATTCTACCTTAACCAAGGTAACTGCCCTCCTTGTACTCATTCATTTAAAGTTTTCATTTAATAACAATCCGAACTTTAGTGGGTCATTTTTGGATCAACCTGTTAGTTACACGAATGTAAATGAGCTGGGTTGGGTTAACCTGCAAGTTGACATGCTAACCCGATAAATTGCTTATTTTATGATAATAATTAAACATTATAGAGGGCATTTTGAATATATAATAAAAAAATAACAACGATCAAATTTGACTTGAAGATTTCAATTAGAAGTTTTAAAAGCTTACATGTTTTATATCTTGTCACATATGGATCATGTTTCTAAAGGTTGATTGGATCTAATTTTCAAGAGAGTTTTTGAAAAAAAATTATTTTAGCACTTTTTAGAATGTGGTATATGTGAAATAAAGATGATTGAAAAATGTGCAGAATAACTATCCACAGAAACTGGAGAAATGTTTTGAAAAAATAGCAATCTAAACAAGGCTAACTTTGAAACTTTTATTATGTTTGGAAAGCTTTATCATATATTATTTTTTAAAAAATTTTGAAAATTTTAAATTTTGTGTTAACTTATATGTTTTTCAAAAAATTCATTGTGTGTTGACAACAGCAACATTGAATCGATTCCATGGCCAAATAGGTTAAAATAAGTAATTGAAATGCTACAATAATTTTTTTTGAAAAACACCTCTAAAATAACTAATTCATATGAAGCCTATAATATTCTTCCCTCCATAAAAGTTTAGAGAAATCAAACAAGTTGATCACAGGAAGAATTTAAAATCTCTTTCTGAACGATAGATTGTGATTTCAAATCCTATACCTTATTATTAAAATAATTTAGAAGGTGCGCCAAATCACTCCTCTCATCCAGATTGACTTTTCACTTATAATCGATCCCTTGCATTACCTAGTCAAATACCCCCAGAATAAGATACAGTAAGTGTTCTCGCATTTAAGTCAAAAAAGGCAGGTCCTTTCCCCCCCGAATTTTACGTGGCCAAGATGGGTCCTCTGCATTTCCTTCAAAATAGGAGGAGGTTAATGTTGTTACCATTTTTCAAAATGAAAAAAAATCCCATCCACATATTAAAAGTTTAAATCAGATTCATAAACACTTGTTTACATTTAATTTTGAATATCCGCCATTTGGTGTTTAGCAGCTGAGGCCTTCTTCCACAATTCACCTGTAGTGATTCTTTTGTATGGTCAAAAATATAGAAAAGAGTATCCTTAAACAACATGCATGTATCAGCTTCAACATGAATCTGTTCACCAATGAACCAACCCCTTTGACCAAACTAGAATTGATCTGTTAAATGGTTTTTCATCCAAACCGAGTTTTGTTGCTTACAATATTGCTTTTTAGCAATTAGCACTGCAGTATTTTCTTGATTTAACTCTCTTATTCTAGACTCCTACATATCTTAGCTATTATGAAATTCGTAAGCACCTTGGAAATCTTTTCCATCATCACTTTTGCTTCAACTCTTAATTCTATTCTCGTTATATATTTTAATTTATCTTTAAACAATTGAGATTTATTGATCCTTTTATATAAGTTTCTTCAAGAAAATCATTTTGCACATTTAATTATTTGCTTCACGTTGACCTATCCTTATATTTGTCTTAAAGAATTGCAGTGGTCGTATTGTCTTTGTTTTCTTTATCGTTGATATGTGCCTTCATATTCTATAGGCATACTTTCACTATTCTCGATTTACTATTTTCTTTAAGTTCGTGCGGAGATAATCTACAAGTTCAGTCTTTTCTTTTTCTTTTTTTATGAATCCACGTATCTATAGACTACTCCTACTCTAACTTATAGTAAAGAAAATTCCAATTGGACCATGAGAGTTAGAAGAAGAGATATCCATCTCTAGACTAAAAGAATGTATTACTACAAATCCTTTGAATTTAATTGCAAGTGCAAGAATTTGAACTTTTGATCTTCAGTTATAGCTGCATTCTACCTAACTCAGCTCTCCCCATTCTTCCCCCTGCCCCCTCTGTTTAAAGTCATACTCTGGCGTTTATGGTTGTGTAAACCATATTCAAAACTGAAATGAATTATGATATTGATAAATCATCTGATTTCATATGGTATTTATAGATATTTCCCCCATTTCTTTGTTTAAGAAAAATCCCAAAATGTTACAGGTGGAAAAAGGGGAAGGGGAGGGCTTCAAAGTGTATCCTGGTACCTCACAATAACCTGATTAAGCTCAAGATAATCTTCATTCCAAATTTGACTGCTAAACTGGGATTATTTTGGGCCAGCCTATCTTTGTTGACGGACACCTTCACACACCCTTTTTTTTTTTTCTTTTTGAGCAAGTTCACACCTCTTTCTGATGTTCCTTTTGAAAGTTATGTGAGATAGATATAGTCCAAGATAAGATGCAAATTGTCCCAATCGCTTTCTTTTCCTTTGGCAAAATTTTCCCTTGACTTTACCGATGAAATGAAGGATTATCCAAAACCATATTGTAGACTATATCTTTTTCTATATATATCTTTAAGGTATTCCGTTTGCCCCAGATAAAATTTTTTCAAGAAATAAGTACAAATTTTTCCTTTTCTTCCTCAAACCTAAAGGAATAACATAAAGTTGTTTATATTGCAGGTGTGTGGTTACAGGAGTAGGCCTCATAAACCCTTTCTTACCTTCCACAATGCACAATGCAGGATAAAGTTAGCAACTATATTGTGCACCTTGTTTTAGATAAAGAGTTTATAGAATCTTTTGCAGGCAAAACCTTAAATTGACCAGCACAAATTGTTTCAAAGATAAAACTAAATGCCCTAGGTAATTTTCGTGGTCTTCTGGCAAAACCAGCTGCAAGCTTTATTCTTCTGCACCTTGCATGTTTTGTTTTGTTTTGTTTTTTCTGCACCTTATATGTGACAACACAAAAACATAAATAAACAAAGGAGAAGAATCAAAACACTAAGCTGTGATGACTTGCCAAATCCTGTATGTGTGCAACAATTTGGAGCGTGTAAGAGGGGAAAAACTAAACTACTTTCCTAAGTCCGAACCATGATTTTCAATCTTTAATTTTCACCAAAAATTTTCAATCCCTTATGTCAATTCAACTCCAAGCACCATCTGATCATCAATATTTCTGTGTTGACTTCCAATTTTGGGTGAAATTGCAGCACCTGTTCCACAAACTGGGCAAGCTGCTGTTTTTGCCAACCATGAAGGAAAGAAATCAATTAAGAAACAGAAGCTTTCTCCCTTATGTCAATTCAACTCCAAGCACCATCTGATCATCAATATTTCTGTGTTGACTTCCAATTTTGGGTGAAATAGCAGCACCTGTTCCTGGGCAAGCTGCTGTTTTTGCCGACCATGAAGGAAAGAAATCAATTAAGAAACAGAAGCTTTCTCCCTTATGTCAATTCAACTCCAAGCACCATCTGATCATCAATATTTCTGTGTTGACTTTCTATTTTGGGTGAAATTGCAGCATCTGTTCTACAAACTGGGCAAGCTGCTGTTTTTGCCAACCATGAATCAATGCAATCAGCATGAAAACAGTGATTACATTTTGGCAACAATCTGCACTTTTCACCATCTTTGAAATTCTCCAAACACACGGCACATTCCAGAGTGCTTCTGCTTCTGCTGCTGCTGTTGCTATCCTCTCTTTCTTCTTCAATGCTAATATTGTAATCAAAACTGGGCAATTTCTTGATTTCATCTTCAGACATGCTTGGACTTCTTCTAGCATTTCTGTGAACAACAGCTCCACCAACTCCATTTGTAGTAGTATTTCTTCTGAAAGCTCTACTCACAATACAGACATGAATGATTACTAAAACAGCTATGCCCACTAACAATAGTGTCACTGAGATAACAATTTCCATGCCCATGTTTTCTTTCATCCAACAAGAAAAGGAAAACCCTTTTCTACCTCCTTCTAAAGTTTCATGGGAAAACCCAGAATTCCAAGAAAAGTATAGAAAGTTTTTTTCATCTGCAAATATATGGTAGTTCAGAAACCAGAATTTCGATGTTATCGAAGAAACAAGACTTGTTTCACCCTTGAAAAATAATTTTGGATGGAGACAAAAAAAAAAAAAATTTTTGAAGAAGGAGCTCTGTTTACAGGTGTTGGTTGAGAGTCAGAAGCGTTTGGTGGGTAACAGAACCAAAAAAAATGCCATTTTGCTACAAGTACAGTAGCTTGGTTTGGTTGTCTTTTTCTTCTTTTATTTTACGTTTGAAATATGACCAAGAAATTCTTAGGTTGAAATGGACCTTTAACGTTTACTATAATTAAAAGACCAAGAAGCTTGAAAAGTGTATTATAAGATTTGCGTTAATAATTTATTGGAATCTTCCAAGTAGCATGAGGCTAAATTTCAATGCAAAATTGTGTCATTTGACAAGTAACAAGCAACCACTCATTAGGTGGCTATAATTTGTTTCTTACACCTTGGTTGGGTAAAGGATTGCAACAACAGCCGGAGTTTTTTTTTTTTTTCCTTTCTCAACAGGGGAAAGGTGAAATTTAATAAGCAGAGAGGGGGAGGGAAACTTGAATCCAAGATTATTAAGTACTAGAGACTGGAGTTCAAATTTCGTTTTCCATGAATAAATTAATTTAGGTAAATAGGTGTATTTGTAACTGATACTTTTGTATGGTTAATTATAATATTGCTCAATGGTGTGCTGATTGTAAGATCAATGTGGTTGAATTGATCATAATTCTGCTCTATTATAACAAAAAAGTTATCAAATCCTCCAACTATATCAAAGTTAAAATTAGCCAACGAGGTAATTAATTTGCACCAATAGATTAGCTCAATAATCGTTGGAGTAATATAAGGCAACATTTAATGTTTTTGCTTAGGGCTACTAACCTATGTTTATATACATGATAATTTTTTGTTATAATTTGTCCAATATCTCATTATTTTGTCAACTTTACAATTTGACAAAACTTCAAGTTTGATGAACATTCCGAAGAAGAAAACAGCTAGAAATTAAATGGGCGGGTAAGCAACGAAAATGGACTTTGAATGCTAAAATGTAGTGACTTGCTCTTAATTTAGTCCGACATTTTGTGATTTTATAGATTAGGTTCTTTTACTTGATATTTTTAATCAATTTTTTTTTTTTATAGAACTTTCGTCTTGCCGTGTTATGATGTGGAAAAGATTACGCTATCATGTCCCAATTGAGACACGAATGTTGAATTTTCTAATGTACGCATGTTCTAGTAGTACTAATTTCTTAACAAAGTTAAAAGGAATAATTTCCATATTCATGGTCCCCTATCACCTTAGGGGAAGAAAAAATGGAAAGGGAAAGGCATTCATCAAAGATTCAGTGGGCTATGTGTTCTAGAACGCAGAGCCATCTTAGCCATGCAAGACAATTAATTTGTGGTTCACATTAATACTGCTAATATGGATCAATGTTGACTTTTAAATTCACAATTTCAAATACTTGTTAAAGTTTTGAAAACATCGTCCAAAACATTCTTTGCATTTTGCCAAATAAAAGTTTTTTGTCCTTCACTTCTAGAATCATGAATGGGTTTGTGGGAAGAGAGGGGAAGTAAGAGATTTCAAATTTGAATTCTCCTACTCACACTAAATAAAATTTAAAAAAAATCTTCATTTTTAAATTATTAACTTTACGTCCTTTATAAATTGAAGTTAACAAAATTTGGGACTAACAGAAATTTTCAATCACTTTTTAGTTTGATTACATGATCCACATGTAATCATTTTTTAAGTACAAAATGGTTAGACTCCATTCTTTTAGTGGCAAAAATAAATATGAATTGGATTAGATCTCAATTTTTTAGGAAAAAATAAATAGAGTTGGAATCAGATCTTATTCTTTTAGAGACAAAAATGAATATAGATCGGGTCATTTATTTAACTATAAATGGAATTTAACTTTTTTATCTCTAAAAAAAATAATCATGTGTGGTTCACGTGATAGATTCAAGATAAAAAATAGTCAAAAATCTAAGTTGGAACTAAATTTTATCAATTTAATTTTATAAGAAATGCAAAGCTATAATTTTAAAAGTGAAAAATGAAAAAATTAAATTAGCAAAGCGTGAGAGATATTTTGAAAGATTTTTTTTCTAAAGTTTTTCAAATGCGCGCGGAATTAACTTGGTCAGATCAGAACTGTAAATGCCAATGATATATGTTGGTGCGCTTTGTGCTTTTCAGTTTTCATTTCTCTTGGGGGACAAGGGAGTTGGTGGGTGTTGTGGAAATTTAAAAGAAAAAGAAGCCATAAAAGAAAAGGCACGCAGAATCATAATAACCAATGAATTAAGTTGTCAAGGTTCAGTTGGCCGTCACGCCCATGACAGACAAATCTCGCGGTATGAAAGACAAATAAAGCAATATTCAAACTTTGTGTTTATCTTTTCCTTTCATAAACTACAGCTTGTAATGAGGGGAAGGTGAAGGATCAACATCACCAATAAATTTTTTTTTTTAGGGAACATCACCAATAATTGAATTGAATTCTATTTTTGCAGCTTCTGTAAAAAGCAAAGCTAGTGCAAATATCTAGCCACGTCAAGGATATGCTCGACAATTGCTAAAAAGACTGTAGTAATTAGTGATTAAGGCACATCGGATGTATGCAATTAATAAAAAATATATATGATAAAATTTATGTTTATAGAAAAATAAAAGAAAATTTTGAAAGCAAAATAGAAGTGCATTATTTTGTGTCTAATTGGAGAAGCATAAGTGGTGAGCAATTATGAAAGAAGTGGATAGCCTTTTTCGTGGTTGTATAACTAACGTATTAAGAAAACTAACCTATTAAGAATCTTTTTTGGCCTGATTGGAACCATTTTAACCTTAACATAAAGGATGTGAAAGGAAATCTAAAAATCAACAATTTTGTATTGACACCATATAGTAAATCTCCCGCTTTATATATTGTAAATGCGTAAATACATACATTATACTCCCTCTGTCTCATTTTAGATGTTTTGATTTAATATTTATCATGGTTTAAAATAAAAATAAATATAATATCAACTTTCCCATTGTACTACAAACTATCTTCGTTTTTTGGCTGTTGTGTCTTTTAAAAAATTTCAAACTCAACTACCAAAATATTGTGTTACCGTTTTAGGGAAAAAAAAAACTACCAAAATATTGAAGCTTAATTGAGGGGCAATAATGGAAAATTTTCCTTTGGTAACTTAGCATAAAGGATGTGAAAGGAAATCTAAAAATCAACAATTTTGTATTGACACCATATAGTAAGTCTCCTGCTTTATATATTGTAAATGCGTAAATGCATACATTATACTCCCTCTGCCTCATTTTAGATGTTTTGATTTCTATTTTAGTTTGTACAAAAATATTTATCATGGTTTAAAATAAAAATAAATATAATATCAACTTTCCCATTGTACTACAAACTATCTTCGTTTTTTGGCTGTTGTGTCTTTTAAAAAATTTCAAACTCAACTACCAAAATATTGTGTTACCGTTTTAGGGAAAAAAAAAACTACCAAAATATTGAAGCTTAATTGAGGGGCAATAATGGAAAATTTTCCTTTGGTAACTGATGTATCCCCGTCAAACGTTACTTTTCTTAAATAGTGTTAAAAAATGATCATGACATATAAAATGAAATGAATAGAGTATTAACAAACCTGTCATCAATCACATAACTTCTATTAAGCAGCCTTATAATGATCAACAATTTAAGGGGCTTTTGATTCTTATTAACTGTATCAGAATAGGAGTCACATTTCATTAATTGGGTTAGGAGGTTTAGGTCATTTAAATCTGTTTCAATAATCATTGTTCTTGATTACTACAATTCGCGATGCCATTAGCTTACTAGCTAACAGGTCCTTATTATTGTCATGAATTTACATGGAAACTTACGTGACAGGCATGCTTAAATGTAGAGTGTGTGTGGATGATGTGTTTTGGTCAAACTTCAAATTGTATAGATAATTTCCCAAAAACTTAAATTTGAAATTTGAGTCTACGATAACATATCTCTCAAAAAACACCTAAAAAATACTTCAAATATATTTTAAATACTAGGGAGGAAGTGTCTGCGCAACGCATGAGTGTATGGTGACTGTGGTTAAAGAGAATTTTAAGATAGTTGTTTGTGGTAGTTGTATTGTTATTTTGTGTAGTTTCAAAAGTATTTAAACTGGTAGAAGAGTAAGTGAATGACGATAAGAATAGGATATCATATTAAACGATAATATTTCATAGTATAGGTTTCAATAATAGATTGTCAGCAAAGACCATTTAGATCTCCCTTTCTTTAGATTACTATTCAACTTGCATTTCACAAATTACAGGTAATTTCATTAGTTATATGTCTATTCTTGGGGTTAAAATGTTAATCAACTTGTTGATCAATAATGATTATACCATTTGTTAAAAAAGTCATTTAAGTTTCCCTTTCTTCAAATTATTATTCAATTCCTCACTATCAAAATGAATTCCATATATGAATCACTTACTATATGCAGCAGAAAACACAATATGACTGAACTAATTAAGTTGCTTTTTTGGCTTACCTTATTCTAGATACCTCCCGGAAAACTTTTTCTTGCAATTGTTCCAAACCTATTGTATCATAACCACACTATTCAAATTTCATAGACCAAGCAAATTTGTGAGAAAATCATAATGTTACAGCTAAATTATGCAACCAGATTTTCAAATTTTGTGACAAAAGTAGTCATGTGACGCTACACACCACCAAAACCACCCACATAAACAATAAAATTAAGAAACAAAACTCACCTTAAATTGAACCACCAAGAATAGTTTCACCTAAAAACCATTTTGGAATGTAGAGTATAAAGGCAGCAAAAATAGCCAATTCCCGATAGTCAAAAGGAAAAAAACTGAAGAATGTGAAGGAGAAGGCATTTGAACAACGATAACTGATGCTGAGGCATAAATTCATTAACATACCCACGTTTTCTTCAGTTTAATTGAGATGTAAATGGCAACGACAATTGAATATGTTTTACGCAATTGAATGTTCTCAAGCGGTAAGATTACAGCAAAATGTCTTCATTTCAATGGCATAATAAATACCACACTTCAAGTCAATGTGTTTACAACACCATTTAAGTAATTATACCAATACATAAGCT